TTTTTTTTTTTTTAAATGTCTGAATCAATCATCCTCATGTTTATCCAGATAAAGTAAGCAGGCTTTATCTGATGCTGTGACAGATCTGTTTGTTTGCTGAAGAGCACAAAGCTTTTAGAAACTTTGTTCAGCCAGAAACATTAACATCTAAAATATTTTAATAAAAAAATTAAAAAGTGGCAGAAGATGGGCTTTGTGGTCATTGATGTTCTGCAAATGAATCTTAACACACATACACACGTTCTTGTAAACGTACATTTTGGGGACTTCACATTGACTTCCATTCATTTTCTATAGCCTAACCCTGACCCTCTGCAACCCCTAACCCCACAACAAGACTTCTCCTTATGGGGGACCTGGCTTTGGTACCCATAAAGAGCAGTTGGTTCCCACAATGGAAGTTTTTTTTTTTTCTAAAATTGGTCCCTACAAGGTAACCTGAAACAAAAAAGCACACACATGTAAATAAGCAAAACCTACAAGGGAAATGCAGTAAACCTAAACAGGAGTGGAAAACTGCCCAACTCACTGTAATAATGATGGAGAAAACATCTTTTTCTTGTTGTCCCAGGAAAATAGATTTTCTCAATCTGTTGTCCCATTAGTAATATTAAAATAGGCCGATGAATAAATGTGTCAAATATTTAAAGTAGGACAAAAAAAGCTACATTGAGAGCAAAGAAGCTACAGTATAATCACATTTTAGACTCACTGTAATATCTGAACATCAAGATATTTACTTTATTTGGCTGCTTTACAATAAAATAATTTCCTTTATGCTTTGTTGTTTCTTTTGTTATATTTAGAACATCTGAAAAATCACGTTTGAATTATTTAGATAAAACGTTCTATTTTTTGTGACATTGTGAACCCCCTAAAACGTTTTTATTAGACACAGGAAGGAGTGTGGCTTCCACTTCTCCACCTTCATCATAAAGTATACGCCCAAACTGTTGGTTAAGTTTCACCTTTTTCTTTTAAAATTGTATTATTACATTTGCTTTCACAAATACTAATTAAATAATGTTTTACAAACAAGAAATTGAGTGTTGGAGTTTAAATAAAGATGTGCCACATAGGATATTAACTGCTATTGTTGGTCAAAACCAAAATAAATAAATACATAAATGAATAAGAAAGAGGATTGTTGTTAAGTGTACAGAATTAGTTTGGAGACTTTTGCAAATTAGAAGAATCCAGTGTTGCTTTATTTCTTTTCACCAGATGGTCTCTATAAGACCCAAATGCAACGACATACCAAGAAAAACAATGTTACATTCTCAAAGCTCTCTTGACATGAAAAAAAAAAAACAAACAAAAAAAAAACAGCAAGCCTGACAATAAATTAAAAAAAAGTTGGCAAATAAAATAAACTTAACAAAAATATGAACAATTCTCAAAATTGCATATCAAACAAAAGTATAGAAAATGTAATTGGCACGAATTAAATAAGTCATTTTTAGATTGAGTGAACCAACTCTGTGTATAACTTTGCGAACATGATTGTCCTTCACAGTTAGCGTTGAGCATGAACAAACTCAAGTCTTGCCAAATTGTCAGTACTCAACATTTCACTTTGTCAGTACTTTGACCTTCATAGTTTCATCGTTAGGTGGCAAATGGTGCAAATTTTTGTACTGCACAAATCTGTAAGTGCTTGTGCATTAAACTATGCTAAATATATGCACATGAAGCAGGACAAGCACTCTATAAGTTACCAGTGATTTCTGATCAGTTAAGCACATGATTTAAGATTTTTTTTAAATTAAAGAACAAAAGACGTTAAAGACACTTTGGTATTTTGTAGGCCATGATGTGCTAAACTAAGCCTCGATGAGTGCAATGCTCACTAAACATATTCTAATGTAAAGACCCAGTCTTCTTTCGTATTTGCGTGGATTTGATTATAGTGATTCCAGGACACTTATCACACACAAATATTGTGTCATGATAGTGCACTCATTGTTGACCCGTGACAGCAGTCCCATGGGATCTGCTTCGTGTTGATGATGATGATGGCAATATGTGGTACATAAATAAAAATGTTTTTGAAAAACAAGCTAACACAAATGTAATGTAACAAAAAAACTTTTATCCATTATTTTTTAACAGGGTGACCCCTTTCTCTTAGAACGTGAGTCTTTGCCTGTTATATCTTTATCCATTGGTCTTCATCTGTGCTCTGTTTTTCTCGGTCTGTCTCAGCAGGGCATATGCAGTGCAACACTAACATCTTCTATCTCAACTTCTCAAAGCAACAGGAACAAAACACAATACAATGTAATATACACCCATATAAAAATAAATCAATCGCAAACATGGAAAGATACATCTCATATATACAATATATCCCTATATAAAATAGCTTTTATGTACATATAGACAAAAGACAACAATAAAATAATTGTACTGTACAATATACACCTGAACAGTTAAGACAGGTGAGAGGTACTGAAGTGTATGGCTTGATTGGGAAAACTTTGAAATATTTACAGACATTTTTAACTTTACACCTTTTACATGTTGACAACTTCCCTGGAATGAAAAGGCATAGAGACAACCCCATACTTCCCTGTTTGTTTTCAATCAATTAAACAAGGTTAATATTTTAACAACTGGTCCACGGTGAGAATCAACCCTCAAGTTGCACAACCAAATGCAATTGCAGCTCTAGTTTTATGGCATTTAATAGAAGCCGGGTGTGCAAGTCTTACAAAAGGCCGTCAAGATGTCAGTCACAAAAGATCTTGTATCAAATAGATTAAATAGGGAATGGTAACACCACTTATTTTGAAGTTTGTCATGCCCAGGAAGACCCAGACCTTCTGTTGTTCTCCATGAAAGGATCAACCAGTTACGGACATTCACTTCGCTTTCACAAGAAATAGAGACAAACGTACTCCAGTGTGTAATCACAGACTGCTCTGTTTCAGAGCTGACATTTAGTTCATGAGTACTTAAGGCTTACTCATGAAATATTTTATTTTCAGGAAGCTGAACTGTGTCATGAGTAAAGTCATAGATCATTCCCCAAAGAAGTTCTTCAGTAGTGTTCTTGTAATGTTTCAGCACATCATAGAAATCCCTTCAACGGTGACCAGCTGACCAGTGGTGGGGTCATATGTCCCAGCCAGGTAGTAGAGGTCTGGGGAGGAACTGTTCGGCTTTTGACTCCGAGTCAGACACTCATACTCCTCCCTGCTCATTACCCGGCATTTATGAGAGATTGTCTGGACATCATTCTCATCTTCATGACATGACTGGTAAAGGGCATGCTGGATAGAAAACCGACATAGTTAGCTTCAAAACAGTATTCATCACAAGTGGAAAGAAAACGGTAATTGAAAAGTTTTGTATTTTACAAAAAATTCATGCAACATAACCCACCTTGCCATCTCGAAGCCTCTTGCCTAGTTTGGTCTCCTCGGGGTGGTAGAACCACTTGACTTTGACTACCATTCTTGAGGTCCAAGTTTCCCAAAAGTTTTCAATTTGGCCTACGTATGGAAGGTTAGGGCGTCCAGCCGAGAGAAACACAGCACAGTCTCCAACTCTGACAGTGTCTCTGCCTCGCACAATGGCCTTGTAGAAAAGCTTCCGGGCCTTGCCCTTTAGCCCTCGTCTCTGTGGAAAACCAAACAGTTTGACCATCCATCTTTGATCATAATGATTACTGAAATTTCTTGCTTTGAAGAATGAAAGAATGAGTTGTGAATCTTTATGGAGTGATGTAATGTGTGACGTTAAAGGATGAACAAGCAATTTTCACCTGCGTAGGATTTCCTGACCATCGCCACATTTGGCGGCCTGGAAGAAACGCAGACATCTTGGGCCTTGGAATATATGAAATGTCATCTGGAAGCATCCTTGGTTTTTTCATTAGTTCCTTAGTTGGTTTGGAAATAGAAGTCATACATTCTTTTCTCTTTAAGGACTTGTTGGACAGTTGGTCAGCTCCTTTGATGCTTGAAACAGCCACAGCTTTGGCCACAAAGGAGTGCTGTTGGGACCGTGAAGAAGTGGAGGGTTCAGATGACTGTATGAGCCCCGGGTGGGAAGACAAGCAACTTTGCAGCATCAATGCAGAACTCTCCTCGTCGTCTGAGCTGTACGATGAATCGTTGTCAGATGAGCAAAGGCTGGAGCTTGAAAGAGAGCCTGAAGAGGAGGAGCTTGAAGAACCAGACGAGGATGAGGAGACAGAAAGACGAGAATGAAAACATCCATCCATTCTTACACCTCCTGTGGCTGCAGTCAGTGCAGCCCGCCTCCTCTCTTCCTCTTCCTCTTCATCATCTAGATCAGAATAGGAAGTATGACACTCTCTGTGAGAGCTAAAGCCCAAATCACTATATTTCTCCTGGCGCAGAGAAGTGGAGGGCTTTCTTTGTGGTGTGGTGCCTTTTAGGAGAAGTTCCACTCTGGAGGAACCTCCCTTTTTGTTGTCTTTAACCAACAGGACTGGATGTGAGTATGCCTCGGTTTTAGGCATGCCACTCACACTGGAATATTCACCTCTCAACAGCAGCGCCTTGCTGTTCTTTGTCTTGGGAGACGTTACCCCTTCATGATCTAATTTGACCAGAAACTCTTGTTCAGACTTCTTGCTCCTTGGTGTTACCAGTTCATCTTGTCTACGCTTTTCACTATACATGCTGCTCTTGGAGCCAAGAGATAAACCCGACCCTGCGCCTGTAGACTGGGTGCAGAAGGAGTAGCCATTTGCAATGCTTCTAAAGGAATCTACTTCAAAGGAGCTGCTGCTGAAAAGGCTTTTGGCTGGGAGCGATGCCATTGACTGGTTCTGAGGCAGCAAGAATAGGGCATCGTCCTTCCCTCTCAAGGTCTTCTTTGGTGCCCCGTTGAACTGAAACAGATTGTCAGAGGATCTTTTCCGGGTGTTAGCCAGTGAACTCCAACCCAAGAATGTCTGAGTATTTTTGTTGGCATTTTCAGCCAGCTGCTGTTTTTGTTTTTTCCCAGAACCTTTTGGCCTTCCTAGAATGTGAAACAATTACATACAGTATGTATTAGCAATATTTCCTATTTAATAGTAGATTTATACCTACAGAATTATCTATATTTTAATCCCCAATGCACATGCATATTCTATAGAAAAGTGTAAAAACCAAGATATTTTTATGAAAGACAATGTCGTTGAAAAACATTACTCATCGTAAACACCTATTTTCATCAGATAAGATGTTTCTATGAGATTCTTTTCTGAAATGAATTCTCACCTGGCCTTCTTTTGATAACAGTCAGGTTTTGGGTGTTGGTTGTAGAACTGGCTGAGCTGAGTCTGTCTGAAGACCTGTCAATGACAGGTGCCTGCTCCAGACTTGAACTTTTCTTAGCTGTTACTCCACTCGGTACAAGCAGGGAAGGAGTAAACTCACCACCTTAAAGAGAAATTTTAGAAGACCGTTAGCTTTTAGTTATTTAGAAACAAGAAAACCAACGGTGCCCAATTACACAGATGGAAGACACTTACACTGAATCTGGTAGCCTGGAGGCAGGAGTCGAATGTTTGGGAGAGAAATTTTCCCTCTATCTCCATCATCAAACTCAACCATCACTCCACTTGGTTTCCCCTCATCGGATGAACCCCCTGAATGAGACACAAATGCTGTTTAATGCTTGCTAAAAAGTAATTATAGTAGTCTCTCAGTACTTTGCGGTTCGACTTTCGCGGAATCGCTCTTTTGCGGTTTTTCAAAGTAAGATTGTACACAAGACAAAAAATTGTACAGAACACATGAATGTCAACTTTAATATTACTCATATGATTGGGATAGTATGGGATACTGTACAGTAAAAAGTTCTTTAGACAAGCGCTGCCATTTTGTAGTTTTCTCTCAATAAGCCTACACAGTATCCCCACTCATAAAGACTACATTTCCCAGAAGCCAACATTGCCCCGACCAGAAGTCCCATTTCTTCCTGCTGAAATGGAGGTAAAGTTTAAATCTGATTAGAAAAAGTTTGGTTCTTAATCATACAGTGACTTCGGCACCCAGCAGATGCCGAAAGCCACACGGAACCCACTGGGAACCAGAGCAGAACTGGAGCAGAACCGGACCTCCAGACTAATCGGTGAATCTGAGAGCTGCCAGCTGGCCCACGAAGACTTCTGAGTGGGGACATGCCGCCGTAGGTCTGGCGTTCTCTCTGGAGCCCACCAGGACCTTTTTTCATTCAGATTTGGACTCAATCGGACCACCGAAAGTCCGGCTTTAGTAAAATTCAGTAGCTACATATATGTATGTTGTTAAAATTACATAGGTTTAATAATTTAAAACATTGCAAGAGTGTGGGAAGGGTTTTTAAAGCCTTAAAATATATATCAATACTAAAATAAATGTAACATCCCTACTTTGCAGATTTTCACTTATTGTGTGTGGGTGTGTGGGGGGGGGGGGGGGATCTGGGACGTAACCTCTGCATTAAACAAGAGACTACTGTATTTTCATGTGGCTGTTGATAATTGACCTCACCTCTGCGAACGTAACCTGGATAAAGGCAGCGTGAGCGCTCACTCCAGTAAGCACAAACCCTGGTCCCTTCACTAAGTAAAGTCTCAGACTCTGGTCGTATATCCAGAACCTGGAAGCCAGACCAAAACATAATTAAGATTCATTACAGATTGCATACAATGCACCCATACAAAGTCATGCACACACAGAGATATCCAAACAGTGTACGAGCAACGGAGCATTGTGAATGGGCAGCCACAGTGCCACGTTTCCAAGCAGCACTTATCTCATGCCAAAGTGCCAGTCAGAGCTGAAAAGAACGGAAGCCATGATGCAGTAAATCCTGACTTGCTGAGTAATACTAAAGAGGGTCTGAATGGAGGGCTTGTGATTGCAGGTTGCCAGATCCTCCCTCCAACAATACAGGCAGCCCCAGCATCCGCTGCTCACTGGGGGCCCTTTCAGGTTGCTTTCATTTACTGTTGCCATGGCGAGGGACCTTTTGGACTAATTTAAAGATGCTAATATGGATGTATGGCATAATTAGATGCAGCTGCTCTGTAATGTGTGTTTAAGTTAGGGACATTTTTTTTTACCACAGTCATGTAAAAATGCCAAGAGTGTTCGAAAACTATTATGTGAGAAAGATTTATGAAACTGCTTTGATCAAATGAGCACAGGTTAGCTTGATGAGCCAAAGAGATTAGTGGTGAGGCAGAAAGTAAAACAATTAGGTTGTTGGGGGTGGGGGAGAAGGAGCTTGTACTGAATCTGAACACTGGAATTTAAATTCAGTAACATTAGAAAAACATGTACAATACCAAATAGAAAAAAAAAGTACTTGTACAATTTAAAAGAATGTAAAAAATTTGTTACACTGCCTTTTTTGTAGCTGCTTGTTTAAGCACTTTGAATTGCCTCTGCAGTTGAAAAGTATGATATAAATAAAGTTATGTTAGGTTGAGTAGAACAAGCATCTGCAAAAAAGATGGATTGCCCCTGCTCAAAAACACTTCTGTAATCTACAGTTAACGGACAGTTTGTTGCAGCCTCCACATAAGCAAATTAAAACATCTATCATGCAAAGTCAAGACTCATGAATATCAGTCAGAAATACTGCCTTGTTCTTTAATAATTGGACCAATTTTAAATGGACTTTGGTTAATATGAAAATGACATTGTGGTCTGATTAAAATTATAATTAAGAACGTGAAGAATGCTTTACAAACTACAAATACTTCTAGACTAAAGAAAGAAAGGAGCAGCTCATTGGTTGTAAGCACTCATCTTAAACATCATCATTCATAATGGTGCAATGGGGCATGGAAACCTGTATGTCTATAAAGGCACCACCAGTATCTGAAGCAAATGTCAGCCTTTGGATTATATATATATATATATATATATATATATATATATATATATATATATATATATATACAGTAAATACTAAAATAACCTACTACTACTATTCATACTTCGTAGTTTTTCAATGATCGCAGGGCTTCAGGGTACGAATCCCCTGTGATACGTAAGGGACTACTGTGGATATTTTCAAAAAATGTGAAAACCTATAAACACTTTTTAGATTTTCTCACAACATTGTTTTAATGCAAATCAAGCTTTCACTATAAACGACACAAGATGTCTTGTTTTCTTGTCCTTACTGTTGCATTACATTTTTATTTGACTGAATTGTGAAGCACTTTGTTCCACTTCTGCTGTTTTTATGTGCTACATAAATAGATTGACATTGACAGTAATGTCTAAATGAAAATTTTAGGAGTATGTTGCAGATCTCCCTGTGACTTAAAGTGAAAAAGCCATGCTTCTCATCTAAAATGTGTGTTTCCAAAGTACGCTTGCCCAAATAAGATATAAAACTGATGCTTTATGCTGTATGGCTTCTAGAGGAATATGAACAGAAAACCAGTCGGGTAAAGTTCCTGCACGGTTACTGTGACTTTTAAACAGCCTTCCCTTATTTGAATTAGAGCAAATGCAATTGATCCAAAGTGCAAACATGCCGGTTAAACTTTACTCTTCATTCTAGGCTCATCCTGTTTGGACACTAATGTGTGTGCAAACATAAAATCCTTTGTCCTGTTTGGCAATAATAAAAAGCTATTACCAGTTGGGAACGATGTGGGCATGAAAAAACTGCTTTAGGTGACCCTGTGCACAAAGACTAACATCCTTCCTTTTACTCAGTGCCTTCTGCTATAAACATTGGTTCCACTGGAAACAGCATAGGTCGACATTTCAACAAATTTCCGCTCCTTTTATGCTAATTAGGCGCTGAGTTTAGACACTAAAAAAACTTAATGTTTCCTTTTTTTTTTTTAAACATGAATGGATCCAGGTGTTGGTTGATCCTGAGTTTTGTTTAATTCTCACAGTGACTCACTCACATAAACCTTAAGGTTCTGTCTTACTTACAAGTTTATATAAGGCTAACGTTTTATAGGGGGAACAGAACTGGCGTGGCCAAACAAGAGACAGCTTTCTAGACTTGTACAGCAGCGAGGTAAACTTACAGCTTGCTTCAACAGCTGCTCCAGTGAATATATTCTTGGTCGGTTTCCTCTCTCACCATCAATAGTAACACTAAAGCTAGAAGATAAAATGGAGCAGAAAGAGAAAAAAATAGATATGGTTATTTCTGAAGCTTGAAATATGCACAACTGGCTCCCGTGTCAGATGTTACTCCCACTTTACTGTTGCCTGAGTCAGATAAGAGATATCGATATTAAGAGCTTGGTATGAGTTGAGGCTTTTTTATGCAGGGAAGTAAAAGACTCAACTGAAGATAAATGACTCCTGATGATGACTTCTGGTCCTTTTATACTAAATTCTTGTTTTTGTGATTGCACTTTTAGAAACTTGAAAGGTTGCAATAGTCTCTGGGATGACTCATGAACTCAATTTATTTTATTTTTTGCTGAATGTCTTCAGAAAAAAAAGACCATTTGATCAAGTATTAGTGTGTTTTGCACACTTGAACAATAACCGAAACGAACGGGAAACAGAAAATTAAAATAAGAACTTTGCCGTAAGGCTGGAGGAAACCACGGTTGAGTTTTCAATTCAACAAAAACAACAGATTTAAAAGCTGCAACAGATTTCACTTACATGTCGGGCATCTCCAGAGTGTGGACCCTAGCAGCATAAAGCAGCTCCTCCTCCTTCGAGATCAGCACTTTAAGTCCATCACATAGGAGCTCTTTGGTCAAAACGCAGTTGGGAACTGCACAGGAAGGAGCAGACACCAAAATAAAATCTCAGACATTACCAAAAACACTCTTCTACTTTAAGCTTTGGTAAAGCATCATCCAGGTTGAACTTTTCTTACATTTGGGGCTTTTCTTGTGTGACAGTCTGTGGTCCTCATCCTCCTCTGAGAAGCTGCTGCCGTCCATCTGAAAGCCCTCGTCAGCAGCAAAGCTCTCCAGGAGACGACTCACTGCCCGTCCAAACGGCTGCTGCATTTACCAGATAGGACAGGAAAACAAATAAATGAGCTCAGAGCAAAATAATTGGCTTTACAAAATGATGACACCCACTACTAAGCATCAAAGTGTTTGCACATCTTACCTGTTGGTCCTTGCTGGTTTGTCCCCGGATTCCCTCCTCGCCCAGTAAAGATGAGGCTCCGACTGACCAGCAACTTTTCCTCTGGTAAAGTCAGCAGAATAACCAGAATGAGATGTGAGAACGTGTGTCCAAGTAGTCAATATGTAACAACAGCAACAACAAGAGAAGCAGAACAATGTACAGCGTGCGCATGCTTCCAAATAAATCATAGATCTAATCAAACAAGTGTAAGAACTGTTTTTCTAAGAATCAATTCCAGATTCCCATTAAACGCCTTTGGTGATGTTATTTTAAGGGGGTTAATTTTGTATGGTTGCTTTATTTGAGGACAGATTCTTCAAAAAGTTGGCTTTTTTTTAATTAATAAATATTTAGTTTAGCTGCTGGAGAAAATAAAAGCTGCATCAATGGTTGGTTTTAGTGCTAAGACAGTAGTCCCTTGCTCTATTGTGGTTTTTCAAAATATGATTGAATGTGACACACAATTGGCAGATGGATGGATGAGGCGCACGATCGGCATGGATTTTTTATTTTAAATAAATTAAATTAAAATATTTAGCACCAGTGTGCAGCCCAAGCTGCAGGAGAAGCTTCCTCCTGCAGCTGATCAGCTGATCTCAGCTCTGCAGTGGCGAAGTGGGCGTGGCCAAGAGCGGCAAGTGGCAGAGCGCAGTAGAGGCAAAGAACTGAAATCATGGCATTCTGTGCTCTTTTAGAGCATTTAGAGTTTAGAAAAAATATATATATCCTAAAATAAACTACTACTTACTACTTGTACTATTATTCCTACTTAGCAGTTTTTCACTTATCGCATGGCTTCAGGGTACAGGGCCCCATGATAAACAAGGGACTACCTTAATTCTACCTGCAATTCTACCTTGGTTATGGTTCCTCTTAACATGGTGTTCTTGCGCGTGGCCCTCTTCAACCTCTCACTGGTTGTTGGGAAGGTGGCCATTCCGATGCTCCTTCTGTACCGGGTGCCTCTTGTCCCGAGGCTGCCCCACCTGGATTCCTTCGACCTGGGTCCACATGCTCTTCTAGCTCCTTCAGGCCGTTGGTGGTGTTTGACAGTAGCCAAGCTCAACTTACAGGTAGGTTTCTTCCTGACTTTGACTTCCCCCTCTGCTACAGAGAGAATCTGGGATCCTGTAGACATACAAATGTAGACTATATTTAACAGAAGGTATGGAGATGGAGGAAACGAACAACGTTGATGTTGTCGACTTATTAACAGACAGCCTCACCATACAGCTCCTGTCTCTGTTTTTTGTTTCTGGCTTTCTGGTTCGCCTCCAGCTTTACGACAGACGAAGGACTGGGGCCTGTCATGGAGGAACTCGACGTGATGTCTCTGGGAAGTTTGGCTCTGTAATCTTGACCTTCATCGGTCTCATAACTGCCTTCCTCCTCTTCATCATCTGAATGGTAAGAGCAAACAACACAATACAAATTAGGCAATTTCATTTCATCTCAGCTCATTAAACCTATTCCTTTAAGTCATTATTAATAGAAAACCTTATTTAATTTATAGTACACTCAAGTCATTTCCTAGGCACCTCATTATTATGTGTGTAAATAGTTATGGAGTTGATGCATGAAGTGTTTAGCCTTGGTGGTATTTCCTGGAGTGAAACTACATGTTACTGTGAGCGAGAGTGCTTCGAGTCAGAACTGGTTTGTGTGTGTGTGTGTGTGTGTGTGTGTGTGTGTGTGTCGCGGCAGCTCTTTGACCCAGTCTGCAAGTCTCCAGGGCTGTCAAAGCCCCTCACAGCCAAGTGTCCACAGCTGTGGCTGTACATCCATTCCAGACCAATCACTGAGGTGTTGGGTGTCCATGAACACTCAGGTCTGTTACAAGACATTCATAATCACCTCCTAATCCATCTTTGCTTGGTTTTTAAGTGATGTACAAATTGTAAAAATTAAATCTGAATTTGTAGGTCAGTAAGTTTACACAGTATGAAACCTGTTCATGACTCGTCATTTCAATCATTGAGATTTTGTGTTTCTTTTTCATTTTTATGCATGAAATGTTTTGTATGCACTGCACCACTTAGATTTTTTTTTTTTTAGTATTTTAATGGGTTTTTGGAAAAGTTATTTAAGCAAAAATGAATTTTTTTTTTTTTTAAATGATGATTATGCACAAGAGTAAACACATTATAGCTAGGCAAATACTGAATATATGTTTAAATTTACTCGCTCAAATATTTGTAGGCACACACAGAAATGTGATAAACTACTAGGAGTGCTTTTTATTAGATTAAAGCCTTCTACCTAAAATGTTTGTTTTGTTCCTGGATCAAAAATCATAACTCATTTTCCTTCTTCAGCCAAACCTATTGATGGGATTTTTTTTTAGCTTTTAAAAGCGTACATTTCTCCATGTCTTACTACAACAGTTTCAAATCTTTACTTGATGGGTGAAAACATGTAAACATGCTGACAATAACTATAGATCAGGGATATTCAACTGGCGGTCTGCGAGCCATTTCCGGCCCGCGGGTGACTTCAATCCGGCCCACTTCATTAAAAAAATAAAATAAAATTTTGGGGTTCTGTTTATTGCATTTGTGACTCAATGCAATAAAATAAACACATTTCATTGTAGACTTTGGTTTATTTACATAATGATTTTAATCACTGGACGTCCGGCCTCCGAGCTGTTGGCTTTCAGAAGCTGTGGCCCCCTGAGCAGTTTTGTTGAATAGCCCTGCTATCGATCTTTAAATGATGTGTCCAGTTTTACTGCTTGTGTCATGCCCAAGTCTATTCACTGCCTCACCTTGATCAAAAGAGTCACTTTCAGCAGAAGAGCTTTGCTCATCCTTCATTGATGCTGTCCTCCGACCACGTTGGCTTTTTGTTTTTGTCCGACTCCGTTGGGAGGAACCTTGTGTCAAAGTGTTGGATGCTTTTTTACTTCCATGCATCTGTCCAGTCCAGCTTTCTTGGAGAACACTGTCCACACTGGCTGCTGAGCAGTTAAAACAAATATTGTTGAAAAGGAGCACATACAGTTAGTGAAACATTTAGCAATGTAAAACTATAAAAGGACAATCGGTACAGGGAGTGTAGTGCATACCTGTATCGCTTTGTGCCTCCGACTCTCGCCTGGATTCGGCTTTGACCGCAACCTGGCTTCTGTGTCCATGCTTGGGGTTGGAGCTGCAAGGTGAACCTTCCATGTCCCTGGGGCCTGTTCCTGAGAGATTCCTTTTAACCTGGGCTTTCTGTTTGAGCTGAGCCACATCGCCAGCCAGCTTGGAGCTTAGCACACCGTGAACACTGCTTTTTTTGCAGCTCTGTGCTTTTAACTGCAACAACAAAGACACATGAGAGAGAAAGCCAGTTACACTCTTGGTTACAAAAGCTTCAGAATGTCAGCCCCCTCATTTGCACATACGCATGGAGAGTGGGGGGAATAAAGAATAGTAGAAGCCACAATGAACGCGATATTAATATGGAGAGCCGCGGATTTGACTCCTGAGGGTAGCACCTAATTAGAAATAGTGTGCAACAAAGGAACATATCAAATGCAATGAAACAAAGAGTGGCCTCTTTCATTTAGGTTTCACAGAAGACAAAAAAGAGCAGGACGAGAGGACTCTGACCTGTGTGCTGCTGAGATGCTCAAAGCCTTGACTGGACGGCCTTTTCTTCCTTCTCTGGGTGTCTCCGCCTCCTCCTAAATCCTCAGGCGACAAGCCGAGCCCCATCCCCATCGACCTGTCAATTTAAAAACAAGCATTTATCATAGAAAAACAGTGGTTTAAAAGAAAAAAAGAAAAGAAAGGTAGCTTATTGTAAGATAAAAACTGTCGAGTCGCCTCCCTCTGGGCACTAGTAACTTTTTTCTGTGCTACAGAAAAGGCACAAGGAGAGATCAGTGTCTGAGGCTTGGATGGTTTGAGGGCAGGGTGGTATAAGAGGCATTAATGCTTCATCAAAGGAGTAAGATTGCTGCATGTTGGAGGCTACTGTGAATGTTTTGAAGGTTATGCAGTTGTATTCGGCCATATAGTTTTCTTTAAGTTGCCTTTTTATATAACCATGGCACAATCTTTCCCCTGCTCTGAGCAGCATCGTAGGCCAACCACTGACACAGTGCCTCTCTATTTTGTGGGGGAAGGGGGATTCTAGGTCATAAAAGCAGCTAATTAACCGAACTGATTAGTATAGTTAGCTTGGAAGGAGTAATCTCCCTTATACACACACAAAAAAGAAAACAAAAATCAAAGCAATACTACAAAGCAACGCAGTCCTTGTGGGAATAAAGCATGCACGCATAAAAGCAAACAATGTTTGTATAAATGCTCCCGCAGCTGCATCACGACCTCTGCAGAAGCTGGAAGTCTTGAATGGATCTCACCCAACGCAGAGATACACATACAGGGGGTTAAGTAAAGTAAAATATGGAAAGAGATGGTGAATAGTTGGAGTGTTCACTTTTAGCTTCCACCTGAGCAAAACTGGATGTTTAAAGTGGCAGGTATAAGTTTTTATAGATGTGCAACACAACAAGAAGGTAACCCTGTTAGTGTACAAATTAAAAAAAATATATATATCACAGACTAACGAAGCAACCTTAAAGGCTAAAATTGAAAAATGTAGACATATTTTCTGTCTGCACATCAGAAACACTGTGTAGTTCACTGTATTCTGACATGTACAAATACCCACCTCCACCTATTCTGTGCAGTTCACTGCAGTGGCCCTGCCTGCTACCTTTTCATTTGGTTGTCATCGTCACCCAGCATCAGCATCCACTATCTGATCAGTGGTTGCTTAGCGAGAGGGCAAGGGTACAATAGGTGGAGGCAGAGTGGAAGTGACATAGCAGAGGAGCAGCTGGGAACACAGTGGACTGTTGCCCAGAAACCACAGCAAGAAACAAGTGAAAATAGAAGCTAGAGGAAAAGGAAATGGAAATGCCACAAGGTGACATGTGATGTCTTGAGTATCTCCAAACCCTGATCGCAAGACTAATTAAAACCTGTTAGAACCCTATTTCACCAAAAATAAAAAAAGTTTCCTTCCATTCTGTTCTTCTATGAATGTTTTTCCTATTATTCTTTCTAGACACGCATGTCAATGCAAGCTTATCGCTTATCTTTTATTTGCCTAGACTCTATTGATTTGTCCTGTAGACCCTTGATGACCCTGTACAACCATGAAACCAAAGGTTGGTCAAAGTTATTCTGCTGACAGATTACATTCATCCTCCCTCAAGTCTCTTTAAACCAATTCCAGTTAAGCTCAAATAAATACCTAAAAAAATAGAGATTTTTTTTAATCACAAGAAGATTGTACATCAATTTTAAATACCAACGGACACAAATTATAGATAATACTGTTAAACCAGGGCTTAATTAATTAGTATTCTTCCTAAAATGGTTCATTAGCTCTCCCATTTTCTGTTTATGCCAATGTGAGGTTTTCCCTCAACACCAGTGGAAAAGACAGATTTATCCTGTTATATAGTGATACTCACTTGACTTTTCTTTGGCCTTCAGTTGAGGACACTGGACCTAAGGTGAGGGTGGGTTTCCGCTTCCTCGGCCGTCCAGGCCCTCGTCGTGCAGGGCTGCGAGGAGTTTCTTCCTTCCTACATAACCCAGATGATGTAAACGCATAAGAAGATGGCAGCTCATACCTCACTTTTTTTTTAACTTGAAGGTAATAGAATTACCTCTAAAAGTAAAAGCACATGTTTTAGTTTTTATTAGTTTTGATATTTTAGACAGCAAAAATGTGGAATAAAGCCATGCTCACTGATGATCATGCTTCCTTTGAAGTTTGGCCAGCTCTTTTTGCTTCTCTTTGTAGCGACGCTGGATCTCCGCTAACTTCACACGCATTGCCAGCTCAGGACCGTCCATTGTTTCCATGCTAACTTTGGCTGGGCACACCTGGAGCATGCACAGTTTTAAAATTACAAAGCTAATATGAAAAGAAAATTAATAAAATACTGGGACAAACTTGACCTTTACTGGGCATTTGATCCAATAATTTAAATAACGAGTTATTAGACATCGTATGTGAAGAGAATAGTTCTAATCTTACTGGTTCGTTGCGAGGTGTCCAGCTGCATTTTCTGCGTAAATTGAGAATCCTACGAGCTGGAAAGTGTCGCTCTGAACCAACTCCGCTGCTTTCCCGGGATCCCAACTCCAAGGTACGGGCTGTAGCCAAGGTAGCAAGGCTTTGGAGATCAAACAGGAGCAGCTCTTCTTCTGGCAGGAAACAAAACAGAATACTAATTAAAAATAACACAATACTTTATTGCACAATAAAGATCTTTGAGAGATGAGCACAGACACATTCCTCAACATGTGCTTTAAAACATATATCACAATAAAAAAAAGATATGAGGATGTTTTTGCACGTCTGCTTTTAGCTTCAAAACCTGCATGTAAGGAACACCATTTTCAAAGCCATCTTGTAAAGTTGCAGGTAAATGGCAAGTAAGATAGTTTGTAGGAAAGCTGTGTGCTGTGAGTTATTATAAAGAGGCAGTAGAATATAATTACAGAGGTCATATCAATGTGAACTCGCCAGATGCTGCTATATCTGTGGCCATCTGGGCCGAAAACTTCCAATGTAGTCTCTCTGCCTTTGACATCTTGACTGTCTGCCATTAATAGACTGAGCTATAGACCAAGTAACACAGATCACAGCTTAGAAATATGACATTCTGTTTACTAAGTAACACTGTCTTACATCTCATCACAAATAAATAAATAAAAAACACAGATTCTTCTCACTTTGCATAGCACTTGTTTTGGTAAAGACTATTGTTGTGACTAAACTGACATGTGTCACTTTCTTCAGCTATCAACAGCATCACATCATGAAGACAACATCACTTATTCTGGCATCAGATGATGCTCTTTTTATAGAACCCTCTTGTGGGAGCAGTTAAATGCATTAGGAGGCCGTGGTAAACACAAAACATCCTTTTGCATGACTGAAAAAAAAACATATGGTGCTTTGAAAAGAGAGAAAGCTTTTAAAGGCACTTTAAACAATAGAGTCTCATTAGCCAGGCAATGCTCCAGGGTGCTGAAGACATGCACTGCAGTTGTGATTGCACACCAACTTTTGATAGCATGTTGTTTGAAATGGAAGGAAACAAATTGCAGGGTCTCATTTTGGTTTAAGTGTTTGTGCACGTGTATGGATCAAACAGCTGCAGAATGGAGAAACAATAGCATGGAATACTTTACTGGACCTGACAGAAAAGTACAGTAGTCCCTTGTTTATCATGGGGGATCCATACCCTGAAGACCCGCAATAAGTGAAAAACCACAAAGTAGGAATATTAGTACAAGTAGTAAGTAGTAGTTTATTTAAGTATTTATATATTAAATCATTTTAAACCTTTCCCACACTCTTGCAATATTCTAAAAAACAATGTTTCTAAACTCTAAACGCTCTAAAAGAGCACAGAATGTCATGATTTCAGCTCCCTGCCTCCTCTGCTCTTTGCCACCTGCAAGCGCTTTTGGCCACGCCCACTTCTCCGTTCTGCACGGTGAACAGCTGGTCAGCTGCAGCAGGAAGTATATCCTGCAGTATGGGCTGCACAATGGTGCAGGAGGAAGTTTTTCTGCTGCTCTGGGCTGCACAAATGTCCAGCAGGTGCTAAATAATTTAAATAATTTATTTTAGATAAAAATTCCATGCCAATCATGCAGCTCATCCATCAATTAGCCAACTGTGTGTCATGTCCAATCTTATTTTGAAAAACCGCAATAGAGCGAATCTGCGATAAATGAACTGCGAAGTAGCGAGGGACTACTGTATTTTTAAAAAATCAACCTGTTCTACATATTTTCTTCTCCTGCATCTTTTAGAGCAGCCTTTAAGACATGCTATGGAGGAGCAACCACAGGCAGGAAGTGAAGGCAATCTCTCTGGGGTTAAGTTATATTTCCCAAAGGTTCTTCAAAAACAGTATGAAAAGACGAGTATCTGGGAGAATAACTCAGACCAACAAAGGGAAGGAGTTTGTCTCAGTGGATGGAGAAAAAGGATGGAAAATATATAAAAGAATCCCATTTAACTTGTTGGAGTGAGATGCTGTATGTCTGTCAACATGTGTGTGCTGTGAAAGACCCACTGCCGCTCACCCTGGCTTTTCCCATAGCTGTGCTTCATCTGCTGCAATTCCAAATCTGCAAGCTCACTCAGAAGCTCCATACCCTGGTTGGCGGTGCATTGGGATGGCACAGATGATGGCGTGCTGTAAGGGTACAAGGGAAATGGGGGTACATCTGTGCAAAAAGCAGCAGCAATCAGCAGCTCCAGACTCCAGTAACATGGCACAAGAGGCTTGTGGGGTACAGTAACGGATTCCTCACTTGGGCTGCAGGCAGAAATCGAGGCAGGAGAAAGACACAGAAAGTCCACTGAGGCAGCATCAGGAGCCGTCGTGTTCTCATGCTGGGATTCTGTATCCTTTGGTGCCTCTGGGTGTAGGCACAGCGACTCCGCAGCAGCGGGAGAAGCTGGGTCAAGCTCTATGATGGCAGACAACTCTGGCTCTTGTTCTCCAGGCATGTTGACATTTTGATCATACCCCACCTGACCGTCCCCACCCACTGCCTTATCATCATCTTCCTCATCTAAAGTAATGACAGTTGCCAGCCCATTCCTTTCCTCTGTTGAAAGGGGAACCAAATGGGAAGCGGTCTCACACACTGAATTCTCAGTGGAGGGGCATACTAGCACATCCTCATCTTCAGCTGAGCCCTCTTCACCTGCCTCCTTTTCTCCAGGCACATAGTTGGCTGCTGACATGGTTGTGACCTCCGCCTCCTCCCTCTGTTCCAAAACTCCCTCAGCTAATCTTTCCTCCTCTTCTGGCTCCACTTCCTTAAGTGGGAGTGTCACTGGGAGGGGCATGACTGCCACTTGGCAGTCTAACTCCTCCCCTAGGCTGGCAAGAGATGGAGGAGCATGCTCAGCTGGTTCCGCTTGGATTGCTTCCAAGTCAGCTGGCTCAGCCAGTCGAACATCCTGCGGGGAGGGTCCGCTCCTGTAGCTCAGGGCAATAGGTGGGTAGGTGTATCCAGGAGGCAAGTCTGAAACAGAAAGAATAATTATAGTAATGGAATCATTAATAGTCTAAATAAAATTTCCAATTAAAAAATAAATAAAAAATCACTTATAATTCAAAGCATGTTTAACTATTGAGAGCCTTTATATTTAAAAGACATGCCAAAAAAGGTACAAATCCAACTCTAAACCTAAAAACTTTCTGACTGATTGTATGACAGAAGCCATCGTCACTCTACGGTTTCAAGATGATTGCAAAGACTGGCTGTGTTGCACAACAATGCTTACACATAAACATTGTAGGACCTTTGGAGTGCCTGCAATGCCATAGGTTTAAATGAACTGCTGCTGCCTACGCCACCCTCCGTTTGAAACATACATACCAATTCCTTGTCATTTCAAAATAAAACGCCGTATCAATCAAGTTTAAACCCTCATTCCACTTTAATCGTTTCACACATAACACCAACGCAGGGAGAAGGCATTTCAGGCTTGGTTGAAAGTGTTGTGTGAAACGGACCAGACAAGAAACTGGGGAAGGTAAAAGAGTAGTACTCGCCTTGATCTCTCAGCAGGAGGTATATATGTGTGTGTGTGTCGTTTTTAAAGAGGGTCAGACCTTTGGTTTTAACAGGCAGTCTAATAATTTCTCTGGCATGTGAGAAATGTTAGCCGGACATTATTAATGATCAAAAAGTGTAGTAAGGGCCTGTGAGGTGAAAGCCACAACAGTTGTTACCAAAGTAACAGTATTTTAAAGTACCAGGCATGGCCAGGTACGTTTTTACTCATCCTTGAGTTTAATCACTTGAACACTTGCCAGAAAAGCCACTTACAATTTCTATAGCAACAATAGCTGAAATATAAAATCACTCAAGAGTGACAATTCTAGCTACATAGATAGTATATCCTGGTTTCCCTTTCCAGCTCTTAGCCTATCAATGAGTTAGACTTATTTTACTTAATATATGATACCTATAGTCTCCCCACCATCACAGACATCTACACCTCCAGATGCAGGAAGAGGGCCACCTGCATCATGAAGGACCCCACTCACCCAGCACACACACTTTTTGCCCCGCTCCCCTCAAGCAGGAGGCTGAGGTACATTAAATGTAGAGCCACAAGACTGAGGAACAGCTTCTACCCTGAAGCTGTTAGACTCATGAATCCCTAACCAGGATAATCACTATGAAAAAAAATCACATCATGCTGCTGATGTATTTCATACTGCTTTTCGGCGTATTGTTTTTGTACTACTAGTGCTTAGCGTATTTTTAGTCTAACGTTTTTCTGAGTTCATATCTTAGAACTTATTACTGTTTTTCGTTTGTATTTTATACTTTGTTGGATGTAACTGGGACCCTGTGTACACAATTTCGTTCCACCACATGTACCACATGTGGTGCGTATGACAAAAAAAGAAACTGACTATCAGTATGACAGGTATCTTATTGTTCTAGATATTTCTCAAACTAAAATTACTGCACACATTGCATCAAAGGCAGCTGAAAAACTGGAAGACTATTTTCCATATTTACCAGGCTCCAGAGACTCTGGGTAATCTTGCGGGGCCTGTCCCTTGCCTCTCTTGTCTTGGGAATCAGCAGCTTTGAGCAACTGTGGTGGGGCAGGGCTGATTGCAGGAGAATGAGGGGCAGCTGCCACAGGACTGGGAGCAGGGCAGGGTGTTGACGGAGTGCTTCTGGGATGTTGGCGCAGCGAGGGAGACTGGTAACAAGGGGACAAGTGAGTGACGCAGGGCCCAGGGGGTGAGGCGTTTCTCTGCGGAGGGTTGTAAGAGTAGGCCTTGGCAGGTTTAGATGTTCTTGGCTCTGAAATTAGTTCTTCTAGTTCATTTGATGGCTCGTCTGGTCTTTTCTGTATCTGGCACATCAAAAACAAATGTTATTTTTTTTTATTTCTATCATAAGGTGGGTTTTTTTGGACAGATCTGTTGCCTTGATAATCACCTGTTGATTGTGAGTGGCTTGGTGTTGCATGTTGTGTTCAGCTCTGTGCTGCTGCTGCTGCTGAGGCTGAGACTGCAGCTGCTGCGAGTGGTGACTCTGGTGCTGATGCTGGAGCTGTTGGTGCTGCTGAAAAGCGTACAGCTCTTGTTGCCGTAGAAACTGAGAACGGGAGTACACAGCGGGGTGTTGCATGTGGGAGGGTGGGCCCCGCGCACCATACACAGGGGGCCACAGCCCTTGCTGCTCCATCACATCTAATGAGAAAAGGAAGAACACATTCAGCCAAAAACTTTTTTTTTTTTTCACTTTTGATTTATGCATCATCACTCTGTGCAACACATTGGAATACATTAGTGAACAGAAAACTGCATATCTATCATTATATACCTCCCAGACAACTACTCTAAAACAGCAAAAAAACATTAGGGATCATTTAAAAACTATCATATTCACATTTCATAGCAACATTTATCCTTTCAAAGAGTAAGTTTGAAGTTCATTGAGCAATAGCTTCCCCCAGGCAGCAAAAAAAAAAAAAAAAAAAAAAAAAAATCCCACACTCTCCTCTGATCTAAACAGAAAGCAGTTTTTGAAAGACTACTTTGAGAATTTAGGAATGCTGGAAAAAAAATTAGTAAGGCCGATGTGAAATGAGACCAGATGATAATGCTGCAGATTGATTAGAGGTCAAAGTCTTTGCTGGGAATAGATGTGCGTCATTGAAGTACTTAGTTAGCACTGGCTAAACTGAAGGAGTGCCATCAGAAAACCAAGTTCCCATATCAAAGAACATGTGTGTTCAAATTATTTGGATTTATGAACATCTAGAACTCTAGTCTATTCTTTTTTCCAATTCTTCATTTTACTTTATTGTGTGCTTTCTGTAAATGGTGACATGCAAATCTATTCTCTCCTCTTGATATACACCCAAACTTGGATAGAAATATGTTTCCTAAAAGGGACGGAGGGCAGATTATGTGGATAGACTTTCATAAAACTGCTGTTGAATGCAGACAGAACTGTAGAATGATCAAGACAAATAGATTAAGTTGTGCTGTCTGTTAACTGAATGAGTCTAAACCAATTTTTAAAAGTTTACCACACTTTAACTTTCACTCCCCTACTATGATCGTCTTTTGTGAAGCACCAATAGCTTTATATGAACTCTAATGATCTGAAAAACTACTGCTGTGGGGAGTATCTGCTGGAGTTCAGGGAGTATTTGAATTGCGTCTCTATGAACAAAGGAGAGTGATGTTTGTTACCAACATTAGCAAAATACATTGGATTAGCAATAATTCATCCATGTTAAGTTAAAATATTTTATACCAAGGTGATGTGTTGCAGGGTGGGCAGGAGGCTCAGAGGGAAGGACCACCAGCTGAGCTGAGGGGTCCTGAGGCAGAGGAAGGACTGGCTGCAAAGGGCCTGGCATAGCTGAGGAAAAACCTGGAGGCAGATTCTGATGCAGGGTTGTATGACCTATGCCTGCTTTACAAAAACAATTTTCAGAAAGATTACGAACACTTTGAACACAAGAAAAGCTTGGATAGCATAATTTTAGCATCTGTTTTCAAAAGTATCTTCTTACCATAAGAGTGTCCAGTCATCCAGAGGGATGGACTTCCAGTTCTTGGCATCCAATGATGATGAGCAGAATGTGCAGCAGGATCTCCTAACTGGCCGGACTGGAGTGAAGTCCTCCCAGGGACCATGAGATGAGAGGTAAGGTCACCATGGCAACTGGTGGATTGGTGGATCCTTGCAAATTCCACTCTTTCTTTATTGTCCCTGTCATTGTGATGTGACAACGATACAGTTACAACCAGCAGATGTTTATTTTGTGTTATATTTTTTCTATGATAATAGTGTAAATGCTCATTAAGCATTCACACTATTAACAACAAAGTCCATGCTCACCAACTCATTCACACTAGCTCATCACTAACTCACAGAAGCTCATTCACACTATTGTGATCCATTTTTCTTCCGTACATTTTTTTGGCACGATGCTCATCCCACAGTTTTCAAGCTATTTCAACAAATCCTATATCAAAACGTTCAACTCTTTCAGGACAATCCTGCTATTGACTTTTGGTATTGGTGAAACTTTGGCTTTTTTGAAATATTTAGTATTTTCTGCCATTTTTATTCCTCATAGAAAATGAATTGAGCTCATTTTACATCCTTCAAATCCTTAGATCTGTTTACAGCCTTTTACTGCTCCTTTCATATTTTATTCAGGATCAGCTTCTTTCAGCTTCCTTGTGCAAATTTAAACTTTTTTCAGCTACTTTCAGCTAATTTCAGTTGTGCTCTTTCAGATTCTAACTACAACATTTTTTGTGCTTCTTCTAACTTCTTTCTGATAATTTCAGCTTGTTAAGTTCCTTGCAGCTTATTATGCAAGTTTCAGCTTTTTCTGCTATTTCAGCTACTATTTAGCTTATTTTGTTGCTAATTTCAGCTTTTTATGCTCTTTTCGGCTTTTTCTGCTAGTTTCATCTTTTTCCTATTTTAGCTACTATTTAGCAGTTTTTGTGTTAAATTTAAGTTTTTCAGCCAATTCCACATTGTTTGAACTCATTTCAGGTTCTTCCACTTCCTTCTGGTAGTTTAAGCTTCTTTCTGCCTTTTCAGATACTTCTCAGCTATTTTATTTTGTCAATTTACTTTTTTTTTTGCTAATTTCTGCTTATTTAAACCTAATTCAGCAAATATGTGTTCTTTCTGCTTTCTTCTGCTAACTTAGACTTGTTCTTCAATTTTGGCTACATTTCAGCATGGTTTTAGGTAATTTCAGCTGCTTTTCAGTTCTTGAGCAATAAGCATTCACACTGCATTTTCCCAGGAAATGCAATTTCTCTAGTTTAGAATGAGTTTGGCATTGGGCTACATTTGTTCACCTGATGTATGCATCTCTGTCTCGGTCCAAGCAAGTGAGGCCCATTTGCTCCTCACTCATCCTCTTCCTTTCCTCCTCGGTGGGATCTGAGGGATACATGGAGCGGGGCAGTCCTGTTGGATGAACATTATGTGAACCATCAACTTTTCTTTGTTGTCTCATGGGGAATCTCTTGTAGCAAGCAGATCCATTTTATGTGTCTGCTTTTAATAGTGAGGAAAAATTACGATTAAGTGCTGATTAATTAACACATTTTGGCAAATGCATTTCTTTAGCCCATTTATCAGCACAGAAAATGTAAAAAACCCAAAAATTGGTTTCAGCACAAACTGTCTCTTAAACTCTTTGATGTAGACATCTATATATGTCACATTAGAATGTTATAATGAAAAGTTTAGATATTTGAAGGACAAATGTGTTACTCATAGTATTTATCCAGTTCATGATTAAAGCATAACTCAGACATCAGTAGGCAAAGTATACTCTGCACAAGGTGCATGTGTATCAAAGAGCCAACACAGAGACACACAACCATGTATGGTCAATCGTACACCTCAAGTGAATTTAGAATTATTTGTGACACCAACATGCACGGTTTTGTGAGAAAGCCAGACAGAGAAAACATGCAATCCTGTTGTGATAACAGTGATAACTACACTTCTAAGTGGCCCTTGCCAGAAATATTTGGGCAAATAATAGCACATAATTGTTGGTTTTATTTGTGATGGTTGGTTTTGTGTCTTGTGTTATTGTAACTCTAATATCCGTTTTTGCAGATTTATTATTTTTTACAAGCTTTGAGACTACAACAAATCAAATCTGAATATTTTAAACTGGTATTTATTTTATAAAATTCTTATGCATTAATTGGAAAATAAAATTTTCTTTAATTACGAGAAAATATGCTAATCATTACAAATATTTTCAGACAATAGGGGTTTATTTTTTCTGCTATATTTTCCTAATTTAATTTGTGTCTGCATGTGGTCACTGCATGTTCGTTGATACGTTAAAGGTGTTTAAGTTTTTCTTACCTTTCACAGTATTTTGTACTCGACCCTGACGGCTGTTGGGATGACTGTCTGCTGAGCGACATGGAGGTTCCCTTTGTCTGGCTACTGCCACAGCAATTCCCACTGGTGGCTGCCGCACCTCACTCTCCCCGTGACCAGTGTCCCCCATTTCTCGACTCCGTCCACTGTAATCTGGGCGTTCATTGTCAGTTAGACCCTTCCTTGAAGGTAGAGTCTGTTTGTTGCCTTGAAGGGCACAGCTACCCCCTGATGGACCTGATTTGAGACTTCCCAGACCACCAAATGGTGTTTTCTGAGAGAGGAGCAGTGGCTGTTGCTGGTTGCTGTATTTTAGCAGGCTTTTCATGGCACTGCTTTCACCCTGAGTTGGACCTTGGGGATCAGGTTGCTGCTGTTGTTGCTGACTGAGTGGAGGTGCAGTTTGGGGCTGTGGAGGAGGAAGATTCATCCCTGGCTGCTGCTGCTGCTGCTGAGGGTGTTGTCCAGTAGAGCTCCCAAGCTCCATGTAAGACTTCCTCTGCTCTTCCTCGGAATGTGACATATGATGGGGAGGCCTCATGTTCCAGGGTGGAACTGAGGGTTGCTGGTGGTGGTGCTGCCCACTGCTGTTGCTGTATCCATAAGGAGACATGTCCATCTTACCTTTAAGCTCTTGAGAGTTACTCTGGTTTAGCTCAGCAGGGGATTGAGAATCTGGAACCGGTCGGCTATGCTGCTGGTGGCGAATCCTGGCTACCTTTTGACCATCTCTCTGTAAAGAACAGCTACCTCCAGGACCATGGGCTGTTCCAGTCCCGCTGTGTTGCCCCATGTTTTTACTTCCAAGTGGGGAAGAGTTAGGTGGGGGTCCTTGATGAGAACAATCTCTATAAGGAGAAGTGTTGACAGAATGAGGTACAGAATTCCCAGCCTTTGGTCCCTGGGACAAGGAAGATCTGAACACATCTAAATCCACACCACTGTTGATGCAATCAGCACTCCGTGATCGTACAACCAGGTGCTGTTGTTGAGAATGTGTTGTCTTTTGTTGTTGTTGGGGTAGTGGAGGAAGTTGTGATGGCTGAACATGTTGATGATGGGACTGCATCCAATCTAGAGCTTTCTCTGCCTTTCTATACGAGTGCAGCTGTTGCTGTTTTCTGTGCCAGCTATTATGGTGCCCACCTCCAGCACTCTTTTCAATTGCTTTGTCCTTGGTATTTCCACCTCCTCCTCCACAACCCATACCCTGGCAGTCAAGACTTCCAAGCTGGAATGGTCCACTAGACTTGTCTCCAATGTCTGCCACAGATGGTACAAATGTTGGACCAGTGACTTTAGATTCCCGCCCCACATTGATTGTACCCCTCTCTTGTGAAGCAGGGTTGGCTAAAGGAGCAGGTGGGGGAGGGCAGAAAAAGTCTGGATGATGGTGTGTATGATGGGAATGATGAGGATGATGCGGATGACTGGGGTGGAGCTGAAGGCAATGGAAGCCTCCTGGGTGAGGGTGTGCATGAGGGTGAGCATGAGGATGGGGATGGGTGTGCGCCCCTCCAGTAGCAGAGCCCATGTGTAAGGGTGGGGGTACAGAGTAGGGTAGGGAGTGGTGAAGTGGTGCTGGACCCCGTTCCAGACAGTCAGAAGGTTGTTCACTGATTCTCATCTCCCCACTTATCCCTTCTTTGGTGCAGCGACTACTACCATTACAACCCATATGTCTGCCCTGGTTCACCACCCCTTCCCCCATATTCCGAAGTGCTGTGCCGTCTCCACCACAGCTGGACATTGAGACTTTCGTCCCTGTTGCAGATCCTGCATCTCCATTTTGCATCTTTCCATTGTGCAAGCAGGCACTAAGGGGTTTTCCTGTAGTCTGAGAGTGCTCCTTGCTATACTCCATTGTGAGTGATGCTTTGTGCCTCTCTAGAGCCCGACTATTAACATCTTCTAATGGCAGCAGGTGCTCTAGATAGTGAGGCTGTTGCTGATGAGTGTGGGAATGGTGGTGGTGGGTGGTCTGGGGTGTCTGGTGGCTGTGGTGCTGCTGTTGTTGCTGTCGTTCTTTAGTCTCTTGTTTGCTACTGGACCTCTCTTTGTCCTTGACTGGTACCACTCCCCTGTCCACAGACCCTTCTTTAAGACCCTTGTGTACGCCTGTCCCTAATCCAGGATCCCTGTCTCTGCTGCAGGACCCCTGAGAGTGTCCTGAACCTGTCCTGGACATTGGTGGCAGGCTGTGATTGGCTGAGATGAGAGATGGCTGGGATGGAAGACCCCGCAGATAGAAGTTCTCTACAAAAAAAGGAATGCAGATCAGAAGAAATGTACTTGCATTTATTAAATACTTTAAAATCAATATATCTTGTTAAAATGATCATACTATTTAACCTTTATTTAGACACATAAATCCCATTGAGCCTCGGGGACTCATTTACAAGAGAGACCTGATTATGTAGGTTTAATAGATTTAACTCTCATTTCTATACATTTATTTCTCATTCATCTCACCTTTTTGCGTATCATAGAAACGGTGCTGCCCATAAAGAACACCGCCGTTGGCATGGTGATCTAAGTGGCTCATTGGGAGGAACGTATGGGCCAGACTCCCCGAAAACCGAGGATATCCTGGACCTTGGATAAAGAGAAGGAGGGGTTCATAAGACATGAAAACAGCCACTGACTGGGGTGTCGGTTTTTGAGGTAATCCTTTGGGCCTGGTGCAGCTGGTGGTGTTCATAAGCAAATAAGTACTGGCTTTGCCTCTAATGTTTGCTTTTCCTGGCTGATTTTACAATACAGATAATTAAAGAAAAGCTCAGGGATTGGTGTAATATGACATTGGTCTTTGAGACATATGGCTTATTATTCATCTCCCTGTGAAACCCAGCAGTGGCATCTACACCCACATGAAAGGAGAGATGAAAATGGATTTGATGCTTGTGTTTAAGTGAACAGAGCTAAATGGCTAAACTTGGTGACCTAGTTAAGAAGTAAAAGGACATTTGGATGTTGGGTCTGTAAGCCAGTACACCTGGGTACATTACATCAAGTCCATCTGAAGGACATTTACACCAAAACCATTTTTTTTGAAAGACACTGAAAAACACAAAGGACTTTTGAGAATGGAGGAAAAATAAAATACGGACTGAGATGAAAGCCCATTGCAATATTAGGACAAGCATCACTATGACAACACACATTCACAGCAATAACCATAGCCTCTAAACACATAAGTGCAAATTAAATTGTCCTGTCTATACTACTTCAAAAATATTTTACCCACAAGATATTTGTTTAAAATCTACAGAAAAAACCTTCTGCAGCTACCATTATGCAAACAAAGATCCACAATAAGGCCGTGATGCTACAGACAAGCAAACATCTAGCCATCCATTTTCTTTATCCACTTTTTCCCTTGAGTCAAAGGATGCCCATCTCCAGCGGTCATTTTGCGAGAGGCAAGGTACACCCTGGACAATGTGGTCCATCACAGGACCACCTAGAGACAAACAACAGTTCACATTTTCATTCATGCCACAGATGTATAGCCAGGAGGCAAACCTGTGATCTTCTTGTTATGTGGCAACAGCACTAACCACTGTTCCACAATGCTGCCCTCAAGCAAACATTTAAAAATCAAATCCAATTGTAGAAAGAAAAACTCACTGAGCTTTAAAGTATCATTTTTTAATATTTCCCACCTACCAGTACACAAGAATTTGTGTGACCTCAGAGTCCAGTTATAGATCCTAGGTAATTCACATTTCCTTTTCCCCAGTTTTGCATCCATCGCACCCCACATTCTTATTTTCCAGCCCAAGAAACAGATAAAAGATGGAGTGGAGGAACAAGAAGAGGCAGTGGGGTGTGAGGTTGTAATTAGGTCTAACTCTGTACAAAAATAAGAATGACAAACATATTTTTCTTGGCAAGCTTGTGACCTAATCCAGGACGACACTGTTGGAGTTCCCTTGGCTTTGTGTGTATATGTGCAGCACCTTGATTCTTTCCCCTCCAGCTCTGTGTTGAACTTCTCACTTTCTCCTAGTGGAACAATGCAGCTGGTGCTGTGAGACAGCTCATGGGAGGGAGGAGTGTTGTGGTGGGCTTAATGACCTTGTCTCATTGAGGCCTCTGCATCCTCCAATCTTAATTAATGAAATGCATGATGAGAGGGCAAACAGCCCTGCAATAACGCAGGAGGTGCTGGTTTCTAAGAAGGGCAACAAGGTGATAATTGCATACTCTTGCTTTTTCTTTGCTTTCTCTTTCTCGTGTATTTCTGCTTTCTTTTCCCTTCCCCCCTTATGTCTTTGTTTTGCTGTCATGATTAATAAACACGCACATTTATGCCAGTTCATCAACTGAGGTAGGAGGGTGAGATCTTTTGTTTAAGCAAGACATTCTTTTCCTCAGATTTCCAGGAGGAGAAAAAGCACAGAACGGTTTCCAGTCTTTATCCAAGCTGGGAATAAAAGGTCCTTTTTTCCCCTACAGCAGCATGTTGTTTGTGAGCGTGACGATTGACGGCGTAATCCCTTTTCACAGTGTGGTCTGGCTGTGCCCGATAATGCCAGCCCGCTCAGTTTCAGCATGCTTTCCAATGGGGCGGCAAGAGGGGGACTGCTGGGCACGGCAGAGCCCATTCAGCCATTAATCTGGTCGAGACAAGTAAAGCTGCTGCTTCTGCTTCTGCTGCTGCAGGTGACGTGAGAAGGATCTTAGTTTAGTCTGCTGACTGCACAGCAGTCATGCTTATTTTTCTCCCTCCACGTACATACACACACAAACATGACAGCATCAGCAAGTAAATGACAAAGGGGAGTTCATAGCACATGCCCTTATTTCTATGGGAAGGGTAAAAGGAAGCGACAGAGCAAACAGCATACCGGGGAGGAATCTCCAGAAGTTCTGATGGTATTTCTTAAAGCCCTGTGGGAGAGAGAAGCTAGCTAAAAAAGTGGGACAAGGACTGGACATAGAACCAGAGAAGAATTACCAGTACTAGGAAGCTAGAGGGACAGAGCATGAGAAACCAGGGGAGGAGGAGCAGAAAGATCTGCCTGTCAGGTCTGCTAATTGAGAAAAAAAATAAGAATCATCAAGACACGGAGAGGGAGGAGAGGAGACGAGAGATGCTTGGTGTAGGAGGGGCAGTGCTGTGATGCATCACTTCAGGTTTGACTAATTGAAAGGAAGGCATGCAGGCTGGCACGGGAAAGAGAATGAAAGAAGAAGGCATGTTGTTGAGAGGTGCGTGTGCGTGTTAAGGAAGGTAGCTTAAATCCTACAAAAGGAAAAGCAAGGAACTGCTCACACAGGGAAAGATGGACAACTGAAGATAGGCTCAGAGAGGCGTATCAAACAGGAGTGGATTACTCAGGTGTGTGTAGCCAAAAGTGTTAGTGCATGAATGCATGTCTGTTTGTGTGAACAGAGATGTGAGATAGCGATTATTTTTGGCTAAAAGTAAAAAGTCATTTGAACTATAGCCAGCTGGCCCAGCTCAGTTAAAAGCCTGCTGTCATTTTGCTTTTCCTTTTTACATCTATTTATTTTTCCCCTCAGTTGATTGAACTTAAATATTTAAACTAGTTAGAGGTTCTAATACATTCAGTGTTGCAAAAAGCATTTTTACTTTTGTTAAAACTGTCATCATAACCCCACTATTTCACACAAACACACACACATTTCAAGTCCGCAGAGCAACAAACATTGCCATGTGCTACACGAGATGGCTGTGACAGTATCTGAAATCTGAGTGACAATCTGAGACACACAGATCATGTCCCCACTAATGTCTGTGCCAGTGCAGACACCAAAAACTGAGACCATAAGGTTCATTCCTTATTCAACACTTCCACTGTAATACGGCTCAAGGATAAAACTAATCTTTTGATTGTCCTCTTTTTTTTATACCAATTTAAAAGCTAATAATTTATAACTTTATTTTTTTTCTCGAAAAAAATCAAATCTGATCTTTGGGGGGCTTTTAATGTAGATACTTTGTGTTGATTTCAGATGTGTTCTTGCTGATGAATTCACTCTTACGAGCCATAAACCTCCCTCTGAATATTTTCTGAAGCATCAAAAACTTCACAGATGCTTCACTGTTGTGTTGTGTTGTTTTTTTTTTTTTTCTGCAGTAAGCTCTGCAGTATTTTGCGTTGCTGCATCCATCTCTGTTTCTTCTGTTGTTCCTCACTGCAGCCATCAATGTGTGTTGACATAAAAACATCACAACCAGTAGATAACGCACAAATTGTCTCAGACTCATATTTAAACCTTGATCAAAATCTAAATTAATAGAAATGAACTAGAATGATGAGCTAGAATTATTATTTTTTTCTTTTTTCTATACTTTCTGGAATGAAAGCCTGATCTGCTTATGTCTAAATAAATACAGTGCCTTGCAAAAGTATTCGGCCCACTTGAACTTTACAACCTTTTGTCACATTTCAGGCTTCAAACATAAAGCTATAAAATTTTTATTTTTTGTGAAGAATCAACAACAAGTGGGACACAATCGTGAAGTGGAATGAAATTTATTCGATGTGTCAAACTATTTTAACAAATAAAAAACTGAAAAGTGGGGCGTGCAATATTATTCGGCCCCTTTACTTTCAGTGCAGCAAACTCACTCCAGAAGTTCAGTGAGTCCCAAATGACTGATGATGATAAATAGAATCCACCTGTGTGTAATCAAGTCTCCGTATAAATGCACCTGCTCTGTGATAGTCTCAGGGTTCTGTTCAAAGCGCAGAGAGCATCACGAAGACCAAGGAATGTACCAAGCAGGTCCGAGATACTGTTGTGGAGAAGTTTAAAGCTGGATTTGGATACAAAAAGATTTCCCAAGCTTTAAACATCCCAAGGAGCACTGTGCAAGCAATCATATTGAAATGGAAGGAGTATCAGACCACTGCAAATCTACCAAGACCCGGCCGTCCCTCTAAACTTTCATCTCGAACAAGAAGAAGACTGATCAGAGAAGCAGCCAAGAGGCCCATGATCACTCTGGATGAACTGCAGAGATCTACAGCTGAGGTGGGAGAGTCTGTCCATAGGACAACAATCAGTCGTACACTACACAAATCTGGCCTTTATGGAAGAGTGGCAAGAAGAAACCATTTCTCAAAAATATCCATGAAAAGTGTTGTTTAAAGTTTGTCACAAGCACCTGGGAGACACATCAAACATGTGGAAGAAGGTGCCCTGGTCACATGAAACCAAAATCCAACTGTTTGGCCACAATGCAAAACGATTTGTTTGAGGTAAAAGCAACACAGCTCATCACCCTGAACACACCATCCCCACTGTCAAACATGGTGGTGGCAGCATCATGGTTTGGGCCTGCTTTTTGTCAGCAGGGACAGGGAAAATGGTCAGAATTGATGGGAAGATGGATGGAGCCAAATACAGGACCATTCTAGAAGAAAACCTGTTTGAGTCTGCAAGAGACCTGAGACTGGGACGGAGATTTATCTTCCAAAAAGACAATGATCCAAAACATAAAGCCAAATCTACAATGGAATGGTTCACAAATAAACGTATCCAGGTGTTGGAATGGCCAATTCAAAGTCCAGACCTGAATCCAATCGAGAATCTGTGGAAAGAGCTGAAGACTGCTG